TTGGTATCAAATTGTAGATCATAATTCAAATTTTAGTCTTATACATTAGTTAATGTTTTAATGTAAAAGTAAATATTAAAAAAAATTCTTAAATATTGATTTTTGTGTCACATGGTATGTTGAATGCAGCTTTGGTTCAGAATCGATGTTTGTGATGTCCAAATACAAAATCTAGAGTTTCTTACGGATTAGAAACTCAAAATACTGATATTGAGAAGCTGGAATATAAAATAAGAACTTTCCATCTTTTCTATTTTCTGAGATATTATTATATTTAGTGAATCAACCAAGCTGGCCCTGTCCACCTTTTCCATTTTTGGAAATACTTACTTACATACACCTACTTTGGTCTATGAAGTGTGTATAACCTTGTGGTTTTATCAACCTCTGCGAAGTGCTTACACTTGAAAAACTTCCTTTGTCATAGTAAAATCGAAGCAGAATGATAGAAGAAAATGCAGCTCAAAATATCATATTTTTTCAGATCCAAATACATCTTTGTTACTAGGTCTGATAAATTATAGTGAAATTCTGTGTTATTGATATAGTAATTTATGATTTGTTTGTTATTTCAAAATACATAAATGAAACCTAAAAAACTTTTGTTTTACATCCTCCAAGTGCAAAATTTTACAAAGTTTAGCAAATTACAACAAGCAGCAAGTGAGTACAAAGTTCATAAGTCGAAGAGTATCATTTTTTTCTACACTTCTTTATTTACTGTTCTATGTTTTAAGAAAACTAACTGAAATTTAATAATGTATTTGTAAATAGTAATGATATATATACATATGTAAAACAGTGCTTCTCAACTGGGTGAATGAGTATTATCAATTATAGCATAAATTCAGGAGCAAGAAGTCATTAGTTATCATTATTTATTCTAGTTGTACTTTTATTTTTGTACATTTTTGTTTATGTTGTATTCATTCTAGTTATAGTTTGATGTATATTTAAGTTATAATAAAGAATTTTACATTTTAATTTAGTACTTTTTTGTCTTTCTTCAAACTGAGGTTAGTGGGCTGTTGAGAAGCACTGCAGGTCACTTTGTAAAGGTTAGTTTATACTATTGAATATGGTAACATGGGTGCACATGCTTCACATCATTGCAACTTCTGTAAT